CTTCTTTCAGCCCTCAGAACAGTAGTGTAAAAATTCCCATCTGTAGTGGCAACTAGCTGGTCATGTAGAGTTTAGACACACACACACACTTCTGTCACAGTGCACTGTTCTTCCATTCCAAATCACAACACCAACACACAACTAGGCAACAGTAACTTGGTGTAGTGAAGAAATTAAGCTGTTAACCCCAGATTATTATTTTACAGTTTTCAGACCCTAGCCAGACCCACTGGCAAGTCAGAACTCTCTACTTCAGCCTCTTCTATTACTTCTGCTTCTGAAGCTAAAAGAAAAGCTGTTTAAAACAACAAAAGAAAAGCGTTCCCCTTTCTACCTCTAGTCCAATTCTGATCTCGCTTGCATAGGAGAGTACAGGTTGAGGTTTTTTCAGACAAGGACGGTAATGAGAAGTGAATAAAGAAAAAAAGTGTAAATAAGAGAACCAGATCAAAGTAGAAAGAGTAAAAATGGAGGAGGAGGGTTTTCCTGACACACAAAACTTTTCCTCTCTCTCCTCAGCACCCTCAAAAAAGACCCCTGCCCACTGTTACTTTGACCCAAACCCCAAGTCACCTGGTTTTCCTAGCTCATCTTCTCTAAATGAGACAAACACTCTACATAGAACACAATGAGACAGGGAAATAAACGTCTGCTGTCACAAAAAGGGGGAACACCAGACTGGTGATGCAAACATTATCCCACACACGCGGGCAGTGCTCATCGCTCTTTCCACAACAGCAGTTTCACCTCAGCCCTTCTGCCAGTGTTTGCAGGCACAGAACTCTCCACTCTGAGAAACAAAGGGAGAACGGGGGAGCCTGTGTATGCAAACAGTAGGACTGTGCACCTTTCTGGTGTTTCCTCGTTAAGTCAACTCAAAACTGTTACTGCTCCATGCATGGGAGATCATGAAACACACAGGCACCACCAGCTTTGACTGTGGAAGCTATGAGGATAAAAAGAAAGGCATTTCACAAGCTGTACTGAACAATATAAATGTCAGGTATGCTTTATTAGAATATTTCAGAGCTCAGTCTATGGATCATAATTTATGCTACCTGAGAATACATAGAAAATAAACTGGGGTTTTCATGTCATTAATCTTATTTGAAGGGCAAATGCAGTTAGCCACACCCAAAATTGAAGAATTACTATTGTTTACTCCTCTGGGACAAAGTGAAGCAACAGTATGTGACAGCAATAAGGAGCTTTCAAGCAATCAAAATAAAATTAACGCTTTATTTTATGGAGTTTTTGATTCTACAATTCAATTTGGCCCCAATTCACCCACATCTTTCATTATTAACACTATGTTAGAAAGGAAAAGGGGAGCTGTGAAGCAATGCTAACATTGGTCTTAGAATCCATAAGCCAAGGCAATCTCAATCTAGCCCCTACCGTAATAACTTTACCTTTCCGAGCCCCTGGTTTCTATTTGTAACTGAGGACAATAACTGTCTCATAAACTTGTCAGACAACTGTGCATGTGAAAGTATAGTGAACATAATATTATTACCTATCATGCTTCCCGGCCAACTGTTTGTTCTCAATATTCAAATTGTTTTATGTAAATGAACCAAACAATGTTTTAAATAAAAAATACACAGACTAGCAAAAGCTTACTACCCACTTCATAAAAGAATTTATCCTTGGTCAAATATTTGCAGCCCATCCAATTAGAAAGAAAGGGTTTGTTTTACTCATACTCACTTAAGAAATGTTACAACTAAGTGAAGCCTTAATGACTGCATCTTATTTATAGTGCTGGTAGAGCAATGGAAAACAGCATACCTAAAGAAGTACTTTGAAAAAAATCTGGCTATCAAACAACATTCTCCACAAGTTTGGTAAGACCTGAAAGCACAAAGCCAAAAGTCATACCTAAATTAAACCACTGCTGAAGTCATATAACAAAAGATTGTTTACTGTAGTTAATGCAAAAGCAAGTTGACACTAATATTTTCTTCCAGTCTGTAGAGGGAAACATACCAGCCCCGTTACACGATGTAGTAATGCTGCTGACTCTAGAACTGTGCCTGAGACAAAACTGTACTCACCACAAATTTTTAAACAATCAACAAATTAGAATCCACCAAATGACAAGGTATACTGCACACACACACACACACACACACACACACACACACACCTTAGCTTTGCTGTAAACCTTGATCACATCTTGGCGGGTATTGGGGGAGGGGGTGAGTCTGACTAGTTAATATAAAAACCATGTTCACCCTTGTTTATAAACACATACACACTTGGACCCTCTGCATTTTGAACACTTAACACTGTTCACTGTTGATGGATACCATGATAATAACCTCTGCATTTCTTAATTACAGTAATCTCTATTGTATTTAGCTTTAAGTATTTCATTCAGATCAGGCATTTTCAGGTGTATAGAAGGCTTAAAAATTAGCACTCCTCCTCATAATCAAAGAAATCGTCAACTATTACCAACAAATATCTCCTTAAGCTAATACCAAGGTATTTCCAACAAATATCTTTCCTTAAACAAAAAAAGAAAACCATTGTACAAATGCAAAATTTCTCTCAAGGTTTTCAAAATGTAGCTTTCACCAGATGTGTTACTGGTCATACAAATATTAACAATGAAACTTTGTTTTACTAGAAAGACTTGTACATACAAAAGATCATTTCAAGTCATGTACCCAACTCCTCCCACATACCCGAAAAGCAGCCAAGTTAATTTAATTTGGAAAATTAATATAATACCAAAAAAGTTGAAATACAAGCTAAAACACAGTAGGAAGGTTGTATGATGATATCCCCTCAAAAGACCAATTTCTTGGAAACCTAACTCCAAATATTACTTCCATCTTTTGGACTGTTAAGAACTAAAATCTGGACACAATGGATGAGCAATGGAGATCTAAGCATAAATTGATTAATCACTATGTCTTAGTTTTACAAAAACTAGATGCACCAAACTTCAGCCACTCCACCATCGCATCCAGTATTTGTTCTATAGTCTCCAGCCCTCTACTTCATGGTCCACTTACTAATGATGTCCAACTAGATTCCGGCTCCTTGAGAATATGATTATTCTGCACTGATCCCATTCCTCACATTAAGAGAAAGTAATCTTGGATATCCAGTAGGTTTTCAATATGTAAACACAAAGCATTAATTTTAATGAAATTGTATAATCTTAGATTAGAAGAGACCCTGGAACATCTGTTTGAACTCTAGTTTTATATATAAAGATTCTATTTATTTTTAGAGAACGGGTAAGGGAGGGAGACAAAGAGGGAGAGAAACATCAATGTGTGGTTGCCTCTTGTGTGCCCCCTACTGGGGACCTGGTCTGCAATCCAGGCATGTGCCCTGACTGGGAATCTAACCCCAGACCCTCTGGCTCTCAGGCTGGAACTTTGGTTTGCAGGTCAGCCCTCAATCCACTGAGCCACACCAGCCAGGGCTCTAGTTATATATTTTCTATACAAATGACTAGTCACCTAGCCAATGGCTGACTCAAAATCTTTATGTAAAGTACTGAACTCTAAAAGTCATTAAAATAACCATTTATGGTACCAGAAATTAAGACCTGATAAGGTACATTAAATAATGTTTTAAAAAATTGCTTCTAAATCTTTAAAACAAATACCACCCTCATTTGATGCAAGAGAATTAAGGGTCAAAAAGTCAGCATTAAAAGGCAGCTCTAATAGATGATGTGCCACCTCATCAACTGGGAGAGTTCTGTTCTGGCTTGGGATAAATAAGTCTGAATTTGACTCCCTTAAATCGCAATTTACAGCATAGTTTCTCAAAAATCCTGTTTTAGGAGCATATACACCAAACTCATGAACCTAATTTTCACATCAAACCACAAACGAATCAGCATAATTGCTCTCTAATAACTCTCTTCACTAATACAAAATGCTAACATAGTCCACAATTCTGTATTAAAACAAAATGCTGCAAAGTTAATTTTGAAAAGGAAAATTAAAATGGACCTTAAGTGGACTACAAGATTCTATTTTCAGCATCTGTGAGGTAAACGCTAAACATAATGTCTGGAATACAGTAAGGCCTCAATCGACAGCTATTATTACTACTACTACTACTACTTAAAGCCACAAAAACACAAACAATGAACTTTTCCAACAAAGAGCCAGCATAAAAAACTTGCTTTTTTAGTTTATGTTGCTCATTTAAAAAATAAATGGCAAAATGCCTGGTACGTTTGGCTTGGATAAGGGTTTCAACACTCCCCAACTTGAGTCAGCATATAAATCATAAATTCAACTGACACTTGATTTCCAATCCCAAAACTCCTTATATAGTATGACTCACCGAATTCTCCATTTCTTGCAACTATGAAAAATAAGGCATACTCCTCCCTACAACTACCACCACGACCTTCGTAAAAATTAGCTTAGGTTTTTAAATTCTTAAGAAAACTCGACTTTAAAAAGTCTCTGGAAAAGACTGCTCGGTGAGTTTAGCACAAACCACCCAGAGAGCACGAAAGCTGTGTGACCTTTAGCTGGGTCCTGTGGTCTGGCATGCAAGCTTGCCTTTTGGGGGATCCTCTGGAGAGCTGGGGGGCTAGGACTTGGTGCTGAGTCCAAGTAAAAAGCCTCTTCCCCATCTCACAGTAGAGTCCCAGGCTCCATTCCCATGACACAAAACTCAAGTCCTCTTACCCGGATCTCAAAACCGTCCCCAACCTAGGGTCTCTGCTCCCACAGCACCCCGCCCGACGCTAAGGCCGGGAGCCTCCGAAGCCTTGGAGTTGGGGGAAAGGCGCCATTTTAGGCGGCAGTAGCAGGGACAACCAATCTCCGGGCGAGAGGCAGGGGGCGCCGGGTCGCCCGGGAATCACCGGCGGGCCTCACCGCGCCGGACACCCGTCTGAGAGGCTCGGGAGACCGGAGCCCGCGGCCTCCGCCATGTTGCACCTTCCCCACGACCGCCTCCTCGGCGGGCTCAGCCCACGGCGGCTCCCGCAGCCGGAGAGAGTAGCTCACCTTCTCGCAAAGGCTCTTGACCTGGGGCTCGGAGAGCTGCTTGCACTCATTCAGCTGCTCGATCCACTGGTCCAGTTCCTTGGTGAACACCTTCTCGTCCATGATGACACCCGCCCGAACCGGCTGCCGCTCCGCGCTACTCCCGCGCCGCCGCCCGCACACGGGCCACAAGCACAGGCCGCCGCCGGTTTCCGAAGTACTTCTGTGGTCACTGGCGGTTGCTCGGCGCTATCGCTGGCCCGCTGGCTCTCCCCTCAATGCTCGGCCACAGGCCGCTGCCCTCCTCCTCTCGCTCTACCCCCAGAGCTCGGCTCTCTGTAATGGCGGCCACCGGCGTGGTTACGTCACGCCCGGCGTCAGGAGGCGGCAGGGTGCGGAGGGGTAGAAGGGCCGCGACGGGAGCTGCGCAACTGCAGAGCCAACCTGGCTGGCCGCCGGACTGAAGTAGAGGGCGGGAACCAGAAGCTAAGGCGCAGGCGCCAGGTAGCCGGCTGGTGACTGAGGCACCTTCGGTTTTAGGGTGCGGTCCCTCAGAAGGGTGGGGTCCGGGGGAAAGGGCGGACCGAGTACCAGCGAACGAGGTGATCGCAGCGCGGCGGGGTGGGGGGGGGGGGAACAGGACTAACCCTCGAGCACTACGTCCTACTGGGGTGCGGGTCTAGCGCAGGCGCAGTCCTCGCGGGAAGATCCTTCTAGCTGCCAGAAACATTTTCCAAAAGGTGGTCTCCTTGGCTTTTTACTCCGCGGCTTTAACCAGATCGGAAACGGCCCCTACGCCTCCTTGGTGCGACAGCGCTGGAATTGCTTGGGATTCCCGCATCATTGTGGCAGGAACGGGCGCTCAGGGGTTGTCTGGTTGGAGGCCACCTCCGCTGCTGGTTCGCACTTTGTAATTAGGTCACACGTAGGTGGATGAGGGTGTACCTGCCGGCACAGTGTCGCGCAGTGTATCTCACTTCCCCTGGCACACATGTCTCCGGGCTTGGGTGTCTCGGGCACCATGGCTGAGCCAAGGCCTGGGCTTTTCTCTGGACCTCCGACCTCGCCTAGCTTCCATACACTCCTCGCAGTCTCGCCCATTTTTGCTTTTTACCCGCATGTGTGCGCCTTTCTTTGACCCTGGGTATGAGAAACACCGCGACACACACACACGCACACACGCCCGCCCGCCACACACACACACACACACACACACGTGCGCGCGCCCGCCCGCCTTGTGCTACTTTCTAGAGGGCAGGGCTGGAAGAGATAGGCGCACTGGCCCTGACTGGGTGGTGGTAGAAACAGCTACCATACGGGCTTAAAGCTCGGATACCTTAGGATCAGATCTCGGTCTGGCTATGAATCTCTTTGGAGTTTGTGATGTGTTTTCACATTCCATTGTCCCTACGTTCACAAAAATATTTTGGTTCCAGCTATATGCTAGATCCCATGCTTGGAAGAGAGGGATCATCCACATACACAAAGCGCCCTGGTAGAAAGTGTATTCATTCTCCCAACAGTGCTCTTAAAATGGTCGGGGGATAGGCAAAGAGAGATATGATGTCCGCAGGACCTGAGACCAGCTTTCCAAAGGACATTTCATCTTAAAACACAGGGCAGGAGCTGAAACTGTTCCTCATCTTCTAGACACTGTACTTCCAGAGGGGAGTGCTCACTGCAGCTCTGAGTCTATCATCCAGGCCAAAAAGCTGAAGAAGATTCTGGAGACCCAGGTCAGCCAATGGTGAAACTGAAAATTCCCCTTCATCCAAGACAACCTGCTTGGCCAGGCCGACTGACTTAGTCTTACAGGGCTAGAAATTACAATTCTGCTCCCTTCCTACCTCTCAATAGTGTGCCCAAAAGAAAGTACCTTAGATCTACTCCCCCAAAGACTTATACGTAATTACTAGTCTGGGGAAAAGCTCTTTGAGCTCAGTGTCTGACAATGTTTTGCAAGTAGCATCCCCAAATAATGGAGGAGTAAGAGTTAAGGCCATTTAGAATGAATGAGGGGGAAAAAATCATCACTTGGTGCCCAAGATTATAAAGACATGTCCAGTGTGCTGTCTTATTCTTCCGGTTGCCCTGTGCCTTTTTCGTAGAGCAAGAAGAAGACAGGCACTCAGAAAAGAGAAGGGACTTGCTGAAGGTAGTGATCAGGATTTAAAATTTTATGCTCCTGAGCGTGGGCTGTGAACCAAAGTGTCGCAGGTTCGATTCCCAGTCAGGGTACATGCCTGGGTTGCAGGCCATGACCCCCAGCAATGGCACATTGATGTTTCTCTCTCTCTTTCTCCCTCCCTTCCCTCTCTAAAAATAAATAAATAAAATCTTTTAAAAAATTTCATGCTCTGAACTACAAGGTCCTAGTCTCACTCACACAACTGACCTCCAAGGACTAAAATATGGAACAAGGTCAATATAATTTCCCTTTGCCTGAGTTCTTATCCAGAAAGGTAGGGGCGATGCTAGTTTAGTAGATTAAAAAGTATTGAACACATTCTGTGTGCTAAGATGATAATGAGTGGGTTTTTCTAAGGTGCTGTGAGCTTCTTGTTGCTACCTAGCAATTAGTGTAGGTATTATTTATTTTCTCTTGATGCAGATTACTTGGTTCACTACCATCATAAAATGGAGGGAAGATATAATTATATATTCTTAAAACATCCTGTGAAGTAATTAGATGCCACGACTTCTTAAGCAATGAATTCTAGGAAGCTCTTATTAGCATTCAAGCAGTGAAGTAAAGCGATGATTATAAACAATATATAACTAAACCAGAATGTCTTTAGAAGAAATCTAGAATCTTTGCTTGTTCTGTAGAACTCAAAATAGGTAATGGATCTGAAAATTCAGTGTTATTAATCTGGTCTTGACTAACTGGCCTGACCTCAATTCTAGAGCTGAGGAATAGTTGAAAAGAAAGTTAAAAGCAAACCAAATTTTTTTTTGTAATTTCTTGGCAAAAACCAGAGAGTGAATAAAGCAAATATACTTTGAGAAAGAATCTTTGCTCAGGTGACAAGTTCCATACACAGCAAGTATAAGTGTGCCTATGACGTTTAAACATAGCTATAAATAAAAATCATCTGATGATGGGGATGGGGTAAGAGGAAGGTAACCTTGAACAAATAGCTTCATAATATTAGCCAAGTTATAAAAATTGACATTAAGCATGGAGAAAGAATGAGATGTATCTTGAGAGCCATTGCTTTGGCCTTAGGTTTATTTAGTTGTTCCTTCCAGTTCCCTGACTTTGAGATTTACTGAGACAGAAGGTAGAGTTGTGGAGGTAAGAAGTGGCTCTGGAATCAGATAGACCTGGTTTGAATTCTGGTTCTGCAGCTTGAAGTTTGGCAAGTTACCTAACTTTTCTGAGTCTCAGTTTTCTCTCCTGTAAAGTGGGGATCATTGGAATAGCCAATTAACAGGATTCTTCCAAGAATTAAAGGAAATTCTAAATATAAAACACTAAACAGTATATAATAAATATCCAGTAAATATTAGATATTATTTCTAAGTCGTCTCTGATTCTAAATATCCTCTAATGCCTGTTGGAGCCCTTCAGCTGTCTGCCATGAAATACATACTGGTCTTTAGAAACAAAGTAACAGTGACAAAAACATTGTATAGACACAAAGCCATTGGATGAAGTGCGGATGAGGGAGGAAATTCAAGGAAAGGAAAGAGATGAAACAGAAAGAACATCACTGGATTTCCTTGCCATCAAGCAAACATTCAGAAAGCTTGTGTGGAAAGTTGCTTAGGAATCAATCCAAAAAGCTGGTCAGTTTCATGCTCCCGTTGGCTCAGACTCATATCTGGAAAGGGTGCCATCTCTGATAATAAGCACTCTGCACCCTGAGTCTTTCTATGCCCTACAAGCCCCCAAATAAAGACAGTCAACATCTAAAATAAGCTGTCAACATCTTGGTGGCTCTGCCCATGAGAAACCTGCCAACTAGAACCACCCGACAACCAGAAGATTTCTGGACTCGGGATGTGATGATGCAACTCATTGGTATCTAGCCCTGTTCCTCTCCTTTGTGGTTTTCAAAGACATTAACCTTTTTTGTCTCTTCACCTGAAATTAGAATTTTATAAATGCAGCCAAAATTTTGTGGCCAGGAACTTTGCCATAGATTACAATATGGTCCCCCACGCGTCCCCACTACTACAGCTTGGCTAAAGAAAACAGAGAGAGAGAAATGACAATGTCTCTGAGGTCCAGATACCATTCTCAGCTACATAGGAAATATTTTTCTCTGTTATAGAGAGAGAAAAATGTCTCTAAAATGGAAGGCAAAGTTTATCACTCCGGAAGACTGGGTAAACCTTAAGAATACTGTCACCAACTTTCACCTATAAAAAAATCTTATCAGATTATGTTTATTGACATAGAACATTATTTATAATATGTTATTAAGTGAAAAAGTCCCTTATAAAACAGCATGTGTGATATAACCCTAATTTTATTAAATATATATTATAAATCCATGTGTATAGGAGACTTTAGAAAGGTACACAGTGAGGTATTAACATCAGTTGCTTCTGATGAGTGGGATTGTTTTTTATTTTCTTTTTATTTATTTGATTCATCTGTAATGAAAACATGTTGGTTTTATAATTGTGCAAAGAAAATCTTCAGAATATCTGAGTCAACATGACAAGGTACCTTTCAGGGGAATTACAAACCCAAAGAACATGTAGCAATAGTTCTATTAAATAGTCCACTATGCCCTGGAATATTACTCAAGGGCCCCCACTTTCTTGTGAAAAGAAGTCTCACCTCCCCTGTGGCCTTCTCATATGGTTCCTCACAAAGCATTTCAATATGACCTTCTTTTCTGCCTTTCCTCTCACTAAACTGACTCCTTCCTCTGCCAGGTTAATGTTGTACTTGTCCATCTTGTTCCTTCTTTCACCTCTTTGCTCAGCCTGTCCCCACTGTCTAGATTGCCCCCGTAGCTCTATGAACCCTGCTTGTCAGTCCAGACCAGTTCAAGCCCCACACCCTTTGAAGAGTCTTCTTTCCTGACTCCAGGTCTGCCCGGAATGGGAGTTCCTAGAGCCTGGGAACAGAACAGAGACCTGGCACTTGCATGAGCTGAGGGGTGTGAATGGAGGATTTGTTGGTGAACCCATGTGAGGTGTTCCCTGAAAACTCCCAGAAACACTGTGGAGGAAGGGGGCATTTTGCAGAGAGCCAGAGGGAAAAATCTGTTTACACTTTGTTCTCTATCTTCCAGATTATCCAGTTTACCAGTACTTATGTCTAGCTTGACTCCAGGCAAGATTTAGAAATCAGATTCCTGAAGCAGGTGGATTTGCAAGCATAGCGGCATCTGAGCAGTGCTTTGAAATGTATTTGCAAAGATACAAAGATAGGGCCATCCTGCTCTCCAGTCTGACGG